ATTACTGATAATTTTGTTAAAATGTCTCGATCCCAACAGAAATTTCTTGCACTTGTGTGACAATATATGATTTAGAAACTTAATGAAATCGAATGGAATAAGATTCGTAAAGTATTACAATTGAAAAAGACCACAGGTTATCACTTACTGCTGGCATATCAATGAGTAAGGTAATGTTTAAAATAACGAAGAGATCAAATTCAAATCGTTACGTGGTAATAAAGAACGAAATATATGCGATGAAAGACATGAAACATCGGAGATATACAACATTTGGTAGCGATTTTCACTACATTTGCTTATTCATTGTAAAACGCTTGTGTAACAAAAACGAAAAAGTGTGTATATACATCCAACCATTAAGATGAGAAATATAAATGAAGACATAAAGTAAACTTGAATACAATAGAATGATGTAGCGATTTACACCAGAAGGACTGTCTCTTATCCTGAAATGAAAAAAAAGGCTAAAGGAAGTAGTGTACTACAATAAGCGAACTTTGTTAGCTTCCAGAAGATCAGCTATAGATGGATAAGGGATGAAATGGATGGAACCGGGTGGCAAATCAATGCTTCGATCTGACAACAAGTCAGTCATCTCGGGAATTACTGCCTGTTCTTGTTTATCGCTGGTCACTTCAACAATTACCCGTTCAGCGGACATATCAAGTACAGTAGTCGGAAGACGTTGTAATGCTGGCGGTATTCGTTCCAGAAAATTTGTCTCCATCAAATGACGTTTCATCAGCTCATAACTGTAATTTCAGTAATATTCATCTCCAAATTTAAAAGCAAAAACTTAGACCATTTAAAAAAGGCCACTGTCGATGAAAGATCTAGCGGAAAATAATCAATCTGACACCTTTTTCACCGGAACATTTATTTTGACTCACCTATTCGCTAGAACATTACTGTTTACCAATCGATAAACTACTAACAGTAAAGAAAAATAAAAAAAAGCAAAAGCAAAATGAATATAGTTATTATACAAATCGACAAAAAAATTTTATTAAGCCTGTCAATGAAGTAACAAAAAAATTTGTGAACTGTACCGCTTAGCAAAAACTCTTTCGGTTGTACTAAGCAGACGTGGAGCATTTGTTTTTTCTCGTTCAGCATCCTCATTTTGCAATACTTCAACATCCTTTTCGATCTGAAAAACAGCAAATTTTCCAATATTTTGTTTAGTTATATGATGAATAAATTTTAAAGAGAATGATTTCCAATGATATGCTTTCTATTTGCTAAATTTCTGCTATTACTTTTCAATTGCCAAAATGAGTTCATACTTTTTATTTAATCTGGATGAGATTCACTTATTTATAAGTCAAGGTTTTCTATTAAATTGTCATTGTGAATATCCTGTCTGTTAATGCTCTATTTCTAACGCAACAAAAAACCTAAAATCTAGAATCAACATTTTAAGTATTGAAAATGTAATTCAGACTCAGCACTTTAAACGGTATTGCATTAAATGAATATTGGTAACTCTTCAGTGCTTCACCAGTTAAAATATTCAGTTTTCGAGAATTTTTAAATTATCATCTGCTAGTTGTTCAATCTTCACACAATATAATCTTACAATTTCTTCAAATTTAAATTTCAAAAAACTGAAACCTTTTTTAATCGTACTCTAATATATTCATTGATCATGTAAGCCAAACGTTGTACTTCCATCTTATGTAGAATAATTTTCAATGAAGTATGATCTTTGCATCTACTAAAATTTTCTTCCATGGATTCTAATTGATCAATCATTAAATCAACAATAGTTTCCCTGAAAAAAAAAAAAGAATTTTCTTTTTTTATAACATAAATCGACTTGCCATGCAAAACGAAACGTTCCATTAACAATTCATTAAACCTTGCCCATATAGGCAGTTAAGTTATATTACTTAACTGTCTATATAAGCATAGTTTAATGAATTGTTAATGGGACGTTTTGTTTTGCATGGCAAGTTATTTTTATTATGACATATCTACCACTTACATGTGTGGCAATAGCCGCGGTGCACAAATTTCATTTTGCCATGCAGTTGTAATTTCTTTGACAAGTTGAGACGGTGTAATCGACTCGTCATCATCATCTTCCATAGCTTCCATTTCTTCCATTGCACCTGCTACCTGCATTCTTGATGATGATGACCTTAATTTGTCCATTGCTGATACTGTAACATCATAGTCACTCTCCTCTTCTGTCGAAAATTGTCCGCTCATTTTTTCAATTCCAGAATACACTTCATAATTCTGGAATTCAAGAATCCGAATATAGAAAAATTTTTCACAAAATAGATAAGTTTTCATCGGACTTTTAGAAATATCGCTTGAGTCGTCTGGAGCTTTCACAAATTCAAAAATACCTCAGGCTCAATGCAAGAATTATTAATGTTATAGCAAAATATGTAAGTTATATTGTTTTGATGAAGCATAATTAAACACTTTACTTCCATGCAAACATCTCAGCTAAGCCGAAGAATGACACGCTACTGTAGCTTCCCCTTCTTGTTATACTTTTCTCAGCTTATTTAATCTTAAAACACAATTAAATTATAATCAGCTTACAACAAGAAAAAAAACTTCCTACCTTCACCAACGAAATGAAGAGAAAATGGAACCAACCAAGGCGACACAACCTACTTTAGTGGACTAACCTCTGATCATAACAAAAACTTGATTTGCAAAATCAGAATTTCAACATAAATTTCAATTTGTCACAGAATAGGAACAGCAATACCATCCAAATTGTAACGTATAAATTCATACGTTTAAGAATAACAAAGCAATATGAAAAAAATTTTATTTTTGAAACAAGAAACATACAAATAAGAGAAATTCCTTGCTAAAGAAACAATGTTTAAAATTATTTTTAAGCTACAAATAAAAAAGTCAGCCCTGTGACTTGCCGTTTCCTTTCCTCCTCCTATCACAGTGACTCATAAGATTAAACCTAAATTTTTGCGATCTCATTTACACTAATATGCTAAGATGAAATAAGCTTTTACTCAAACTACATAACAATATCTAATTAAAAATTATCTTCGTCAAAAGTTGAGAATCTATCTTCTGTGTTGATTTTCAAATTGTCCTAGCAATGCAATATAAATTGTTTTATTATCTACTATTTAGATTCTGAATCAGGCACCTACCTGTCAATAAAATACTATAACAATCAATAGATCAACATAATAAGTTCAAAGCAACAAATGGGGAAAGAAATAATATCAAAAAGCAGTAATGAATTATGACGCCATCAAAAATTAAAAATAATTCACGTTATCAAATTTAACCGGATTCACCAACTTAATTCATCCGACCGATAATACATGCTGTTATGTAATAATAATCATTCAAATACATGTTAAGCAAGAATGGTGCTGTTTCAAACCACCAAATTAGAACTATTTTTGCCGAACCTGCGGTGGTCTATTTGATATCACCGAAGAAAATTTCTAATTTGATTTTGATTATATGATTCAATTCTTATCAAATAAAATAATGTCACATCACAAAATACCTTTGATGAAGATCATACAAATTTTATCAGTTGCGCATAAAATCAAATTTCAAAACACTGATTTATTGCTGATTAGACGGCGTTCCCTGGTGCATAGGTGGCGTAGCAGCATCCGAAGACTCTACTGGTTGAGGAATTGAGGTCGGCGGAGGTGCTTGCTGTCCTTGCGGATGCGCGTAACCACCCGGCGGCGCATACTACAAATTTGAAATATAGATTATGAAAATCTAAAGTTTCCATTAATTATTATTTAGTGGTGCAACACTACATTTTGCGGAATAATTCACTGCTATATTGGTCCTTTATCTCAAATTTATACCTGTGGTCCTTGTGGTGGGTAGCCTTGAGGATAACCATAGTTTTGACCTGGTGGTGGAGCTGCTACCGACGTCGGCGGAAAATTTGGCCGTACTGGTTGCCCATAGGCCTGAAACTCAAAACTCCATTATACACAATCTATCTCATAAGATATCACGACAATCAAACCAAGATGAATATCATCGGAAAATTTAAATCTACCTGCATTGGTTGTTGGTAGGTCGGTCGTTGTGGATATTGCTGTGGATAAGGCGGTCGAGCTCCAGGCTGCCCGTAATATCCTTGTGATGGCGTATTTTGATAACCTAAAACACTATCAATATAATAAATGAAGAGAAATCAAACAACACACTCGTTTACAACATAATAAATGCCTGAAATCAGGATAAAAAAAGAATATACATTAATAAATCAAAACTGATTAAAACTAAACTAAACACACCTTGTGGAGGATACTGTTGTGGTGAAGTATTCTGCGCATATTGTGGATATTGTTGCTGCGGCTGATAACCGCCCTGGGGTGGATAAGGTTGCTGCTGAGATGGTGGCTGTTGCTGAGGTGGGACCGGGGGTTGCTGATATTGTTGCTGAGGTGGCGGGGCTTGCTGCTGCTGCTGTGGTGGGATATGCTGCTGGGGCTGTACAGTCATCACTTGAGGGACATTCATTGTACCAGCTGCAGAGCTTGATTGCTGAGGTGGCGGCTGTATAGTCTGGGTAGTTTGCTGGGGTTGTTGAGCTTGTGGATGTTGTTGGGTTTGTGGGTGTTGCTGGGTCTGTGGGTGTTGCTGGGTCTGTGGGTGTTGCTGGGTTTGTGGATGTTGTTGTTGTTGCATCTGTGGTGGCATCGCAGTCATGTTGGGCTGCGATGGTACTGCAGACATGTTTGCTTGAGGTGGTACCACAGTCATGTTTGGTTGCGGTGGTATAGCATTCATACTTGACTGAGATGGTACTGCAGTTATATTTGGTTGCAGTGGTACCGCAGTAATACTTGTTTGCGGTGTCACTACAGAAGAAGCTGGAACAAGTGCGTGCGATGCTTGAGGCATAGCGGCTGATACTCCAGTAGCTGAAGTCTCTGAGGTTTCCGTTTTTTGGGCTAAAAAATCCAAAACATGAGAATAGTAACTAAAAATCGTATTCGAAATAATGCTGATAAACAAGAAATAGAGATGAACTAGATAGAACGACCTAAAAATACTGCAGTACCTCCTGTACAGTTGTATTATCACTGAAAAAACACTAAAACTGATAGTGCTTGTAATAAATTAATATTAAAAAACAAACCGCTATCATGAGGCATTTGTCCTTGCATCGATGATAGACCTACAGCTGGCGGACAAGTAGATGACACAGAGGAGGAAGTTGAAACACCCATAGAATGTGCAGGTACCTGCACTTGTTGCTGCGGCTGAGGTGGACCGCTAACTTCAAAACCAGGTGGTAAGCTTGGTGGTAGTTGACCTAAAATTTCGATTTTCTGAGATGGACTGCTAACTTCGAAACCAGGTGATGAACTTGGTGGTAGTTGACCTAACATTTCGATTTCCTGAGTTGAACTGCTAACTTCAAAACCAGGTGGTAAGAAGCTTGCCGATAGCTGACCTATAATTTCGATTCCCTTCAAGTTCAATTGCTATGTTGAAATACATTTTAAAACTCAATTTACTTCAATTCAAGAATAATTCCAATAATTCCAGAACTACATATGAATTCTGAAAAGAATTCATATGTAATTCGGGAATTATTCTCGGGGTTGAAACAAATGTCAAGAACTGCGTAAAATGTTTGCGCCATATGTAATGAAAGAAAGCGGTGGCTATATCTGCGCATCTCTTACCGAGAGATGATCAAAATGACTTCATTACTATCATCACTAACCAGGGTCAAGGACTGGTGAGTTTCAAAAACTTTGAAAATAAACTGAAAATTTACCACCAGCAACAAGCTTTGACTGTGCTTCATGTTTAGCACGCTGTTCAAGATAACGTAATTGATCCATGTGAAAAGACTGTCGTTCCAGAATCAGTTGCTGCCGTTGATACTCAAGCTTCAAATGCATAGTCGATCATAAATATATAAACTTAAGAAAATCCAAGCCAATTAAATTCTAATTCACTAATGTTAAATCCAGTTCACTTCTAAAAAATCTACTTAATGCTTACTGCTTCTCGTTCTTTATCCATTATTGCTTCAAGTTCATCAAAGTGACGTAGCTTCATTTCCAGTTTCTTCATTTGTGTTTCGACTAATTGGGCAACTAATGACTTAATGCGTCTTTCTTCTATTGCAGCTAGGTGCTAAAAGAGACTTTATAAATCAGCAATACTGAAAAACTATTAAAATAAAATGTTCTGTTGATTAGCTGTTATAACTTAAGGATGCACATACAACTTCCGCAGACGGTCAAGATTTATTTCTATTCACACAGCAGTAAAATTTAGAATTTAGAATGTGTCTGCAATCAGAAGAAAATCAACTTATTTTTGTATACAAAAATAAGTTAATTTTTCATAAATTAAAAATGAATAATAAGTCTTTTTTGATTACACAGCTTCAATGCTGCATTTCCCTTATTTCAGAAAATTTTGCAAACTCCTGTTCTTTTCTACAAAGTAGCAGTTGAAACACTAATTCCATTATTTACATTTCGGAAAACTTATTTTCTGTAATCCTTCTAACTAACCTTTGCTTTAACCGCAGCTGCAGCGAGAGCTGCAGCTGCTGCTGCTTGTACTGTTTCCGAAACTTTACTTTTATTCTCATCTTTCTGCTTTTCATTTGATTCGACAGCTTCCTTGTTTCCTTCCGATGAAGAACAACTTTTATTTTCTTCAGATTGAACATCCATAGGTTCTGGTTCCTTATCTTTGTCAGCTAAAAAAAATGCAGAAACTTTAAAGAAACATATAAATCTTAATAATCTGAACTCACGCAGTTTTTTATCAAAAAATTAAAAATCCAAGATCAAAAAAATTTAAAAAAACTTACTTTTGTCATCAGCAATTCCCGAAACACTCAGGCCTGCGCTGCCGTCAATCTTGCCACCTGCTGATGCCGCTTCTACGTTAAGGGCATGCGCTTCGGCAACAAGCGGAGGTACTTCCTCTTTCATTTTCGCAAACTCTTCTCCAAATAAACATATTTTAATGTAATGTTTAATGTTCCGTCAAAACTTCAAAAAAATAAAGCATCAGAGATAAAATCCGACCAATCTCAAAAACTGTCATTCTATCCTGAGTTACGTCTTTAAACTATAACTCAGGATGAAACCGATATTTTATAAATATATGCCAGGATGATAAGTTACATGAGGTAAAAAAAATTAATGAAAAAGAGAAAACGGAAAGAACACAAACTGACCAAAATAAAAACTGACTGAACAAAGCCGGAACTTAACTAAATATTTTAAAGTAGTACCTAATGCAGCTTTTGCAGCCTTGGATGCAACACGCGGATCGACAACGGATGCGAGGAATGCTACTGTCGACATTATTGGATTACCTGCTTGGCTGAATGCCATTGGTTGATAAGCTAGAGGGCCTGAAATACATTTATAAAGAAATGAAGACTCTCAAGAGAATTTATTAAGTAAATTGAAAATTAAACAGCTTTAGGGCTTTATAAAAATAAAGACACTCAAAATAGTACAATTTCTAACCTAAAACTTCAGCTTCGGCACCTCCTTCTTCTAAATATGGATCTTGGATAGGCAACTGCAAGAACCGCATGATACATTCATCTTGTGTGCGAGATCCGACATGATCAGCAACCTATAAAAAAATAAACATGGTTCAACAAAGGAGAGAGAAGAGCAAGTGTTTGAACTAATTATCAACAATTCAGAAAATTACAACAGCTCGAAATAAAAGGGCTACATTCCAAGCTAGTAACATTCTCCCTTTTTCTACAAATCAATAAATTGCATACTTTGTTCCAATCATCTTTGAACATTTCTAAACCTTCCAGTAACAACAGTGTTTCCTGATCAGTCCAATCTCTGTTCGGAGCTGCTCCTCGCATCTAAAATCCTCCTTGAAAAGCTAATAAATGAAATCAACACCGATCAAGAATCTATTAAAACTGCAATGAATAATTATAGAATCTTCAAAATTAAATTGCTTTAAAAATGGTTCCTGTTCTAATGATTTTTCGAAACAAACCTTTTTTATTATTTAAAACAAGCATTTCCATAAATGAAGTAATAAAAGATCACCAACCTTCATCGTGGAAAGATGCTTTGCATACATATCGGTTTTCAGGCCAGCGTCACCCAATTTTTCAATCTTAATCGTTACATTACCCTCGTCTTTTGTACTTTCATCATCTTTCTCTTTAACTTTTTCTTTTCCTTTTTTTGCTTCATCACTCTGAAATGTTTCCTAAAACTGAGTAACTCTAAACTATTAACAACAAATCAACCTCTTATATCTTTCATACAAATGAGGAAAAGGAAAAGGCTTAGCAAACTCTCTGATCTGCACTCAGTATTTGTACGAATAAAAACGCTTTGTCAATCATAATCGCTCTGAACAGACCGCGATTTTGTCATCATAGAACTCGATCAGAGGTCCAATTTTGCGAAAAATCTTCACATAACAATTACCCACCACGCCATCCCTCTACTTTGCATCTTCCTTCTGCATTCAGCCATCTGCATGGATCCAAATTTTTTTTACAATAATTCAATTTTCTCTATACTTATTGACGCGGATATAAAAGAAAAGAAAAATTTTTGTGCTCAGAAGAACGCTGATAAATGAAACAAGATTTCACTGCTTTAATAAAGATTAATATCTTCAATTATTTGACAAATGCGTGAGTACTGGGCATGGTTGTTTTATTCAGAATTTCACTTAATTAGAAATAAAACGAAAAAAATCCCGAAAGTGAAGACCAAACCTGAGAGAGATTCGGAGTTGGTTGTATAGGTTGAACGCCTATTGGTGTGTCAGCCAGTATCATAAAATGAGAAGTACAAGGCGGTGCTACTGGTGCTGGACGTGCTTCCGAATCAACTTGATAATTTATAAGACCCCACTGTTCCAAAAATGAATGCACTCTATAATGAAATGCATCTATAATGAAATGCATCTATAATGAAACGATAACTGTAAAGTTGTAATCAGAACTGACTGAAAGATCATGAAGATTTCAAAATTGATGAATAGTTTGATTGCTTTTGGAACACTGATCACTATAGCACAATCTTCTTAAAATATTGGTTTCATTTGACAAAATTCTTTCGATTTATAATCAAAAATCTTAGCACAATTAAGATAAGCCATATACCTATAACAAAATTAAATCTCTTGCCATTCAACTGCCGAAGATTAGAAATAGCCCGAAAACTTACCGTAGTATGGAGCATACATCACCGCCGAGATTTCTTCGGCATGCCGTAGATGACAAATATTCAAAAGGGTTCAAACGATATGTATCAATCATGAAATTCCGATAAGCCATATACCTACAACAGAATTACTTATAAAACTGTATCACAACACCAATTTTTCTTTTTTTCAGAAGTTTTACTGTTTTAATGTTTTAGATTTTTAATTTTCATTCCTTCAGTCTAAAAAAAGAAATCTTTATCCAAAAGATATGTAAGAACATGAGGGATTTTATTTAATTTTTTTTTTAAAAAAAAACAATCTTTTAGGCATACACTTCTGGTGATTTGCTTTTGTTCCGTCCGTTGAAAAATTCAGGCACGCCACGTTTTTCGATTTGATGAATAGCATTGTAATCAAACCATGCTGCATACGATGGTATGATAATATAATGCGTTTGTTCGATGACATTGCCATCCTACAAACGCATTATTTTATAGCACGATAGAACTTGAAAAAGAACTGCCCAGCCTATTCTTTGATACTGGAAGTATATTTTAGAATCAGAGAACATGACACACATATCTGATCAGAAAAATTGAAGCTAGACCTCCCATCTTTTTTTATAACAGAGGATTTGTCCCAAACTACACAAGTTTCATTATCACTATTTAAAGTATGAAAGACTTCAAGTCATTAGCCACACAGCAACCTCAACTTTCGTGAAAAAACTGATCCTAAAACGCTTACTATCTACGACATTTTAATGTCATCAGGACAATAATGAAATACATTTTTTTAATTTTCTAAGTTTCAATGACCAGTAGTTGACTACCTCTCCTTCCTTGATACCCTCTTCATCCAAATCCGTCAATTTTTGTGATTTCGGTGCAGAATATTCCACATCTTTCTCTTTTCCTGGGAAAATTTTAAATTCATGAGAAAATTATGCTTAAGTAAAATTGTTAAAGCTTATACTGTCGAAAAGTCTAAGAAATCACCTGATTATCCCTGTTAGATTTACCAAAATACTTTCTTGCAAATTTGCTAGACAACTATCTTGCATCTCCATGCATTACTCTTATTCGTTTTAAAAACATGCTCTTGAAAAAATTCACCGAAATGAAATGATATCACTATAATATATGTAAAAGAAAAAAAGAAGAAAATGTAGAAACACAGTTTGGAGAAAATAATGAAAAAGCAATAAAACTGGGGATAGAAAAGCGTAGTCACCTGTTCTCACAAATCCAAAACAGATTGTATAATTTTTCATATCTTCATAAAAAAATAAGTAACAGAAACCTTTCGGTATGGAAACCATTGTGAGTCCGCTTCGACTATCTTCTTCATCCTGTACCGAAGTGGAATCATCTTCATCTCGCCTCCGTTTCTGTCCACTACAACAATCACACATTTATAACGCTTGTTTAAAATAGTCAAACTTTCAATAACAAGTGCCTAAAAAAGATAATGTGGCAGCATGCCACTCTATTATGCATTGCAGGCTCCTTAGAGGAAACCACATGTATGTTAACTATAAAATTAATACCGTCAAGCTCAAGCTATGGATAATAAAATTATGTCCAAATCTAAAACAGTGTATTTAAGGTTTGACTGAAAATTCTAGAACAAATATGTCATCTGATGTTCTTCACACTATTATTCCTATATTACGACTTAGAAGAGATGGAAAATGTATTACAGCTTACAATAATATCAGTTTCCAGAAAATTATCAGCTGAGAAAGGATTATGTTTGGCACAAACATGTCTAAAAAGTGATGCATCCAAAAGCATAGTTTTAATAACCAAATGTATTTTCATTACCTTTTTCGAACGGCGACCTTGCTATTGGACATGTTCTTGTATGAAATACACGATCTTATTTCCACAAATGTTCTAAAATGATCTATATCCGAAAATTGACACTTCCGAAGTATATATTTGATCAGGGTATATATTTGATCATTTGATCAGAGAAAAAAGAACAAACTTCATCGGTTTGTTCCGCAAGTCACTTGAGATATGGCAATACATATATTACATCTTAACATACACGATGAGACTAAGAGTAATGGATACAATAATGGATAATAACTGCTATTTATCCCAACACATATCTAATATCTTTAGCACTAAACGCGCAAGAAATCATGATCCGCGGAGAGCCGTATTTTATGCTTTGAATAAGAAATAGCTATCATAATAATAAATCATTTAATCAAATAGACACAGGAAATACCACAACAATGTCAATATTTAAAACATCACAAGTAACAATTACCCATAATTAATGTGCTGTGATAAATCTATGCTTAAGAAAGTATTGCCCTATCAAACTGTATATCTCCTGCAATCTATCCCACTAATATAATACCCGAGACATCCCAGAACATAACCACACACACACACACACACACACACACAGACACACACA